AAATCAGCTTTTGGTGAGGAAGAAGCTGTCGGAACAAAGTCTTTTATAATCCGCCCGCCGTCCTCGGAAATCGCGATTACCCTCCCCGAGTGGTGCCAGACCTTTTTCTTCATTTTCTGATAGAGACAAATCCCCGCGCTAATGTGCGAAGGGCCTTCCGGCCACATTCCCCGTGCAGGTGCGGCAACATCGGCGGCGGCTGGAGCGCACTCGCGGGCCATTACCGGGCTGGCCGCCGCCCAGCGCGCGGTGTTTATTGGGGGTACGGCCGCGCCGCGCACTTGACAAGTTTCCAGAAAGCAGTCGGCTGCGGCATCGCAAAGCGCCCGCGTCCCTGGAAAGCTTCCCGTTTTCAATTTGGCTCTGCGGAGAGGACTCGGGAAGTGCGCCTGGCTTGGGGATGTTTGATTTTGCCAGCCTCCGCTCCCTGCGGCTGGCGTGCCAGGCTCATTGTCGAGGGAGAGCCCCCGCACATTCGCCAGCCACCGTTTGCAAACTGATCCGCTGGCAATTTTTGGGGTTGGACTATATGTGGCGTGCGCCGATACTCTCAACATCCAACACCACACACATCAAAGATACACATGCTCAACCACTGCTCTCAAAACATGTCCCGCGAGCCTGAAATCTCCCCTTTCACCGGAGAACAAACAAGCCACTCCGCTGTGATGAAACCGACTGACAAATTGCACTAAAGCAGCGTAACGATGCAAGAATTCAACTTTTTGGGCAGCCGTCCACCGGACGGGCGGGACGATGTTTGTTTTTGTGAAGCAGCAAGTGGCGGCGCTGATGAGGACGATAGATCATGGACTTCAAAAGCTGCAGTTACAAGTCTGCAAATGCCAGCGAGGCCACGTGTGACCCGGAAAAATGGGTGCCGTGACTGCTCTTATCGTGTGAAGTCGACCTGACCGAACAAGCGAGTCTGCAGTCGTACCGAGACAAAGTGGAGAACGGCAGCACGGGGGCCAAAGTGCTTCCAGACAGACGCGAAATACAAAAAGGAAGAAGGAGAAATATTGGACAAGGTGAACATTTTCGATTGTCTGCCCCGATCGTTTCCTGAGCAGATCACGGATGAAGAGCGCGTCCTAGCACATCGCGCGCAACACGCTCACCACCCAGAATCACTTCGACCAGCTCATCTGACCGCCCCGAGAACGATCATTCCAATCAGGGAGACATCGAAAACAAGCGCCCCTCACCGACACACATCAGATCTTTACCGACTTGTATCAGGAAGGGGAAAAGGCTTGGCGTCCGTTTTGTAATTGGGCGCACGTCAGACCACCCACCTGCTTGACTTAAATGGAGCCTTGGCTGGCTTCTGCTCCACCCACCCCCCGCATGAAGTCGTGCGAGACATTGACATCATCATCATCATCCCAACAAGCGTCTAAGTTCATTTTCCACGACACACTGGATTTGCTGCTACTTGATATGCCGCACGAGCCGCCGTGTAGACACAAAGATTAGTTGCAGTCACTGTCGGGGCGCCACACGCGCGCACACATCTGTTCTTCAAGACAGATTTATGATTTAAAAATACTTTTTGGGGTTTTTTTTTTCCAACCCCCAACACATAGAGCCCCCCCGAAGCATCTCTTTAATTTTATGCGGCCTACTCAAGCAGCGAAATGATCATTCCAACTCATGCCATCACAGCGATGACATGAAACTTTGAAAAGTATTCCTCGGCACACGCTATCAGGTCATAATTGATCAGCAACTGGAGACGGTCATATAACAACACTCGGAGGGAACTGAAAAGAGGACCCGCGCATGCACGGCCTCTCCGCTTTAACTCGGCTCAACTCAAGTGTATTTCTCGAGCACTTCCAAACCAGCGACTGTTTACAAAGTGCTGGGGTTTCGAAAGATGACATCACGTTTCATTGATATGAAGGCAAAAGCGCCTTCTTTTGCCCGTCCGCTCTACGACTTTCACTTTGCACTTGGAAAGGAAATTGCTTCATTTTTTTTTCCCCCCTCCCTCGCTCACTCTCACTCTTTCAGTAAGCGCATTTGCCGCCGCGAGTACATTTCAACCTTCACTTCACCGAGTTAAGATGCGAGCGCGCCCGCCGCTTAGCATGGAAATCGCGCACGCAGCGGTCGGGTTTGGGATGATTCGCCCCCGCCGCGAGCGCGGAAGCTCAAGTGCGGCCCGCTGACCTTTTCTTTGGTTACGCCGGCAGCTGGACAACCTGCGACGGCTCGCCGCCTCACCTCCATTAATGCCGGCGCTCGTATTTGTGTTCCAAGGTGCGATAAAAGCTAATCCCGCCACAAGGGGCTAATTATTCACCGGGACTTTACAAATGAGGGTTGCGAGAGGAAAACTTGAAGGAGGAGGTCAGCGAAAAGCTTCTTTGTGTTATTAAAAGTGGGCTTTTCCACACAGAAATCACTCATGCACTCACTGTCCACTCCTCATAAATTAGCATTTTTTTTTAGGGGGGGGGGCTTAAAACCGTGACATTGGGCCCATTTCTAAGAGACTGTGCCGTTAATATATCAGAAATATTGCTTGCAGCCCTTGAAAGAACGTTTTGCATGTCCTTCCTTCTTCCAAAAGGAGAGGACTTTCTTTTTTTTTTGGTTAATTTGTGAAATATTTCTCATCCTATAAAAAACAAAAGAGCATTGCAGCATGTTTGTGTGGATGGAGTTTTAATTTTACAAAAAAAAAAGACCTGTCATTTTAATATTCTATTTTCAAGAATTTTTTTAAAACTCAGATCAGTCTTTCTATTGAGAAAAAAAATGCTTCTTTTCGGGTCATGGATTGGGAATGTGTCTTTTCAAGAAAAATGATGAGTTTGTTTTTTTTTCAGAGAAAGCATGATAGGGGGGAGTCTTGCCAGCAGAAAACCTTTTTTTTTCCCTAGAATATATTGAAAATTTTCAATTGAAAATGTTGTTTTCAATTGTCAAATCTTAAGAGGAAAAAAAAAAAGTAGGCTTGCTCATTTTGAAATCCCAAAAGATTGACTTGATTTCACACTTGGCCACACAACAGAAATGGCTTCTCATAATTTGTCCACCTCCAACAATTCCTGCAACCGAAGCTGCAGCTGCAGTGCCACATTATGCCTACAAAGTACAGGAAACCGTCTTGTCGAGGCAAACAAATCCTCCCCCATTTCGGTAGACGAACACGCTTTCTCTGGCACTATAAAAGCCCATTAAAAACATGAGCTGATATTAAATATTGGACCGACGCTACTTGAGGGCGCAAATCCAGGCACGAAGTGACAATCACACGGCGCCACGTGAAAAGCAAACGCGGCGAATCCATTTCATTTATTGCAAATCCTCTTTGGGGCGCGCGCAAATCGTCAATGATGGCTTTCCGATGACAATTTTGCGGGCGACGCGGCGGTTGCCGTTAAGCCCTCGGCTGCTTCCTTATTCCTGTCGGAGAACACAGGGATTCCTTTTTAATTAATCTGGAGCGAAGGCACGAGCGGTGCCAACAGAGAAGCCGTGACGGCTGGCGAGAGGCACTTATCGAGTCGATCGCACACACACCGGTGAAAAGCGTTGAAACGTTCGACTGGGGATGGCGATGAAACGAACATCTCGGTTCTTTTCCAAGAAAATCAGGCATCGGATGGTCAATGTTTTTTTTTTTTTTTTTTTTCCTCCAATTGCTCGGAAAAATGGAAAATGACAAGTTGTCGAATGCAAAGTTGTTATTTCAAGGTTGCCGATAGCAGCCACCGATACTTAAGGCAAAAAAAAAACAAAAACAAGAAGCTGATTTGGACTAAGGCCTCCTTGCCAGTAGTTGGCGTTCCACAGCGGGAGTTTGACACGTTGGCAAATTGGTACTCGGTGCAGGCGAGTACTCAGGAGTGAATCCCGGTGATTAAAAATGAACATCTCAAAAATTACGAGCTGTGCAGATAAGGAGGAGTTACACCATTGATTAGTTTTTGATTAATTGATGATTTCCAGTCCTTTTTTTTCAAAATTTCCATCCGTTTACAAAAAAAAACAAAAAAAAACCAGGTGATTAATTCAAACAGACCCCCCACAATGCACCAAGCAACGGGAAGGTCAGAAATGCAGTCCAGAAACTCGAGTTGGCAACACCGGCTTTCGCAATGCGCCAACGGGCGGCATGTCATGTGCCCTGTCGTGTCGTAGGCAAACCAACTTTGAGGTCACATCCTGTAGTTGCTTCAGGGGTCGGACTCGTCGCTTTGGTAAACTCGCTGCTCTCCATTCGCAGCAGCGTCGTTCGTGTAAGCGTAAACGCCCGTTGAATCGCAAAAATCGATTCATTGGCCCGAGCCGGAAGCGATTTTCACGGCGGCCACCTTCAGCCGTGCGCGTCCAATGACGACGATAAGATCTCCCTCGCGTCTCGGGCTGGATCGCGAGCGGCCTCCTCGGAGCCGTCGTGACTCGCCGCCTGCCCTCTAAAATGGAAATGGCGCCGTGACCCGGAGGAACCGACGGAAATTAGACATGTCCTGTCTTTGCTGCCCCGCCGTCCGTCCATCCATCTTTTCTCCGGGGCTTCGCCGCAGGTCGCGCATCTGCTGCGGGGACTCCTCTGAAGGACGCGTCCATCAGACCCCCCTGCCACCAACGTACGACCGAGCCACTCTCTCGGCGGACCGCCGGGGTCCCAAATGATGACTACCGGACCACATTGACGAGGTGGATCGTTTGGAATTTGGCCAGAAGGAAGATCACGCTTGGGCGGGGTCGGACTTTTCGAGAGCTCCAGAAACTTATGAAGGAACAGCTTGTGTTTGGACTGCAAGAAACCCTGCTTATGTTTTGTTACGGGCTCATTTAATCAGCACGGCCGACTAGGTAGGGAGCACGTTTAGACGTCCGCGAACCTTTTGGAGCAGAACATGATTGAAACCTAAAGTTCCAAAAAGTACTCCAAGTTTTAGTGAGGAAATGCACACACACACACACACACACACACACACACACACACACACATAAACACACACACAGAGTCTCATTACCCAGTATGGCCCAGTTGGGGTGGGCCCTCCTGTTTCTACTGGGGTCCTGCAGGTCCGTTGAGGAGGGGCCCCCCCGGACCCGGCCGCCCACCCTCGCCGAAGACAAAGTAGCCGAGCTGCTCCAGGGTTGGGCCCCCTCTGCAAGAAATGCGCTCGGTTCAGGACCCCCAGCCCAGCGCCATCGCATAACGCAGAGGGAGGCCAGAAAGGAGCGGGGGGGG